TAATTAAATTTCATAACTAGCCTCAAGACGGTTTGACAGTTGCGGTATGAGTGGTAAAGAGAGACTTTATGGTTGATCCTTTTTCAAAATCTGAATTAATTAGAGCACTATATTTGGCCTTCAACTGATCAAATGCGCCTGAAGACCAGGGACGTGCTGGCACATGGAAACCAGTGACGAACGGTGTAGTAAGAAAGGCCAGTAGCCCCCCCCCCCCCACAAACCGGGGATTGTAATAGCTGTAGGCCCATTTAAAAAGGCCCATGACGAATGCCCGTCTCGTCGTCATTGGCCAGCACGTCCTTGATGAAGACGACATCCAAAAATATCCTCCGAAATTCAGGTGCGTCTTATATTCGAAATTAATATAAAAATGGTAGAAATGTTGTTTTTTTTTTTTTTTTATTTGCTTAAAAATTTAGGTGCGTCATATAGTCCGTAAAATACGGTCTTATGATATATGTATAATCATCTGCCAAAATTACTCACAGCTGCATGATGGCCTACTTTTTCTAATGTGTCAAAAAATAACATTTCTATTAGGTTTTTAATTTGCTTAGGCAAATGTAAATAGTTTAGGAAAAATCTACGGTAAAGGTAATATTTATACTATTATTTTAGTTTAAATGTTTAAAAAAAAATACAATTTAAGAACCTTAGGTTTATTCAATTCGTACATTTATGACATTCATTTTGAATTTTTGAAATATCATTATCATGCTCATAAATTTCATAGACAAAAGGGAATAGTATTGTTTAACAAATATACTAGCTACACATTCATATAACTTGTGTTTAATCTGGGTCCAATATAAAAGTATCCTATAAATAATAATGGTGGGTTAATATACACCAAAAAGAAGGCATGTTTCAAGAAAAAGTATGGTTTAGTGGAAAAAAATATTTCTACAAGCTTATTCTCACAAAGAGAGAAAACGCACCTGTTACGTATCGCTATGGTTATAACGATTGAATCTGTGTTTGTAGTTGGCTCGTATTCAAAACAATACCTAACAAAAGACTGATCTAAATGTATGCGAAGAAAAACTATACCAAAGCAGGGGCGTAGCTGAGGATTTGGGGGCGGAAGGGGGGGGGGGCTTGGCCTCTTTGGGGGCCCCTGCATTTTGACATTCGACATTACTTAATGTAAACAAATTCGGACACTCCTTTGCGGGCCTCCCTCAATTAGGGGCTCGGGGGGCCTTTCGAATTTTGCCCCCCTAGGGGCGGAGTGGGGGATTTGGGGGGGGTAGGGGGGTGGGGCTTGGCCTCTTTGGGGGCCCCTGCATTTTGACATTCGACATTACTTAATGTAAACAAATTCGGACACTCCTTTGCGGGCCTCCCTCAATTAGGGGCTCGGGGGGACTTTCGAATTTTGACCCCCTCCCCTAGCTACGCCACTGTACCAAAGATACTAAAATGTAACTTGGTATATAAATACACTTCTATGCAAATACAAATATGAGTACAAAAGCAAAAAGTTATCAACTTACAGCAAATGGACAAAAGGCACACTACTAAAACTACTAATAAACTTGGCGACTTTATATATGAATTTAGAAAAAACTTTCTAGTACAGAAACATCCAGATATCTCGTCACCTATTGGCTTTCTGGAGAACAAATTAAGTACATTCGAATGTAAACAAGCTGTTGTCGCCAGCCAGGGCAGGGGAGGGTATCAGTTACACGGTGACGTCTATTTCAAGGCCATTTTATTACCAGGTGGTTGTGTTGGCTAAAAATAAATATGTGTTGAAGTGAAAAGCAATCTATACACTATGCTGGAGCAGATATGTTCTAAATATCTCTAGGTGAACGTTTAAAAATATGTCAAGCCCCGCGTTCAACTATTACTTTTACATATAATTCTATATAGCAGTAGCACACATTCTAATTATAAGTTTGGCTGACTGAAAATATTGAGTATCTCTAAAATGAAGTGAATTTTACGACACTTTAAACGAAAAAAATAATTAATTGAGACTGTAAAGATTTTCCTTTTAAAGTACATGTTTAATCATAGTAGACGGTTGGTTTTCAAATTCTAGACAGATCATTTTCCAAGCGCCCCGAAAATAATCTAGTAGCCTCCTGTGGGGCGTGGGCCCCGTGCTGGAAACACTGGCCAAATGGCCGTCAAATTATTGTAGCATCGTGCTCTCTATTTTAGCATACTTTTATATATTTCATTTTAAAAAAAAGTAAAAAACATAGAAATTAAAGGAAGAAATGTATCTGTAGTTATTTCAGTTAAATAGATATGTATTTATTTATATTAAATGAACAATCATAATTACAGTTTTTACAAAAGACATTCTTTGATATAAACAGACACCATTTTCATCGTACAATTTTGTAGACATGTCTACATCAAATTTCTTGCAGAAAGGACTTGAACACAATGACCGAAATCCTGTCTCGTGTACTTAAGCTATATGCATATATATATATATATGACACAGAACATTGCTTAATGTGTAAGGTACAAACATTGCTGGCAGATATGTGTAAGGTACAAACATTGCTGGCAGATATGTGTAAGGTACAAACATTGCTGGCAGATATGTGTAAGGTACAAACATTGCTGGCAGATATGTCTAAAGTACATTGCCTACAGATGACCAAGACTTTGACTTCACTTTGTATTTTGTTTAAAGTAGAAGCTGCACAAATAGTCAGCCTCACTCTCTCTTCTTTGCCTCACCAGCCTCACTCTCTAATCCTTGTCTCACCAGCCTCACTCACACTTCCTTGCCTTACCAGCCTCATTCACTTGTCCTTGCCTCACCAGCCTAACTCTCTCGTTTTTGCCTCACCAGCCTCACTCTCTCGTTTTTGCCTCACCAGCTTCACTCTCTCGTTTTTGTCTCACCAGCCTCACTCTCTCGTCCTTGCTTCACCAGTCTCATTCTCTCTTTCTTGCATCACCAGCTTCACTCTATCGTTTCTTGCTTCACCAGTCTCACTCTCTCTATCTTGCCTTACCAGTCTCACTGTCTCTTTCTTGCATCACCAGCTTCACTCTATCGTTTCTTGCTTCACCAGTCTCACTCTCTCTATCTTGCCTTACCAGTCTCACTCTCTCGTCATAATCTCACCAGGCTCACACTCTCGTCATAGCCTAATTGCTACAAAAGCAAGACGACGGGTAATAAAACAGGATGCAGAAGACGACCAGCAGCGTGTCGTGTGTGTTTCACTGTGCATTTGATGCCTTCCTTGTCGTGGGGGTTGTATGGATTTGTTTCATGTCGCCTACGGGAATCCATCTCAGGGTTTCATGTCAGAGTTTTCCTTCTGTTAGATGGGTTGCCATCAAGGTTATGAGTCCCATCCACCCGGGGTGCTGGTGTTGTGTATGCTTGTCCTGTGGATAGACCTCCAGTCCATTAACTTGGTATTCACTCAGTTTCGACAGATAGGCCACCCAGCACCCACTCCAGACATGTGTTCAGTACATTGCTGGCAGCCATGTATTCAGTACATTACTGGCAGATATATATTCAAAACATTGCTGGCAGTTCTGTCTTCAGTGTAATTACCAAAGATGAGCCTCGTTTCCATTGTTATTAGAAATATATTTAAAAAAACTTTTATCAGACATACATTAATAATCCTAATATAAGATATATAATTATTTAAACTATTATTAGACATACATTTATAAAACAAACTTATAAACAAAATTTATAAGAATTACTCTAGACTAGAACTTGTATAAAAAAAACTCAAAAGCATTAGAGGAATTAAAGTTGTAAATTAAATATATAAATTAAAGGTATACATTTAAGATATAAATTAAAAATATAAATATAAGGTATAAATTAAAGGTATAAAATAAACACATACATTTATAAATTAAAGGTAAAAATTAAAGGTATAAATTTTAGGTATGAATTAAAGGTGTAAATTACAGTTATAAATTAAAAGTATACATTAAAGGAATAAAATAAAGGTATAAATTAAATGTATAAATTAAAGGTATAAATTAAAGGTATAAAATAAACATATAAATTAAATTTATAAATTAAAGGTATAAATAGAAGGTATAAATTTAACTTATGAATTAAAGGTGTAAATTACAGGGTTAAATTAAAGGTATACATTAAAGGAATAAAATAAAGGTATAAATTAAATGTATAAATTAAAGGTATAAATTAAAGTTATAAATTAAAGGTGTAAATTGAAGATATAATTTAAAGATATAAGATAAATGCATAGATGAAAGGTATATATTAAAGGTATACATTGATGTTAGAAAATTAATGGTATTATTAAAACAGATAAAAACACTCATTTCTGAAAAGTCAATGAAGTTTTTTCACGACTAAATACGGGTGAGATTATTATATTTTAAAATTTCATTTATCTTCTTCGGGATCCAACAATAATAAGAGTGCACAAAAATTGTTTCAACACAACTTGAATTCAAATAATTTTTTTTCAACACAACTTGAACTGAAACAATTTGCTCCAACACAACTTGAACTGAAACATTTTTTTCAACACAACTGAAAAATGTGTTTAAACACAACTTGAACTTAAACAATGTGGTTTAAGTTGTGTTGAAAAAAATGTTTCAGTTCAAGTTGTGTTGGAGCAAATTGTTTCAACACAACTTGAATTCAAACAATTTTTTTCAACACAACTTGTGCTTAAACAATTTTTTACAACACAACTTGAACTGAAATAATTTGTTTCAACACCACTTGAACTGAAAGAGTTTGTCTTATAATAACATAATCTCATTTTATCTCAACATCTTAAGGCCATTATGAAGAGTGATGATTTATTATGTGGCTAGTTTTTTAGAAGTTGTTTAGATTTAACAACATAAGTCGATGAAAAACATGAGTCTATGCACAAGATGAGTCTATGTACAACATTACTGGCATGGCTAAACGACTAATTATGTTCAACATTTTATAAACAATTTTATTTTTATGTGCTAGGGATATATTATTGATGTGTTTTTGATGTGTTAGTGATATACTAGTGATGTATTATTTTCCGATTATTATGCCTGCCAATTTCAATACCCTCCGATATTTTACAAGTGATATAATCATAAATATGTTTCCAGGCTAACTCTGTCTTGACCGTGAATTTGTCTCCAAGCCTCATCTTGAGTCCGTCACGGACGGCTGGCCACAAAAACTAGGGAAAAATAAAACACTTTTATCTACAGACATGCAATTAAAGTACTTATATCTAGAGACATAAATTAAAACACTTATATCAAGGGACCCACCATTAAGACACTTATATTTAAGGACCCGCCATTTAGACACTTATCTCTAGGGATCCGCCATTAAAACAATTATCTCTAGCGACCCGCCATTTTGACACTTATCTCTAGGGACCCACCATTTAGACACATATCTCTAGGGACCCGCAATTTAGACACTAATCTCTAAGGACCCGCCATTTAGACACTTATCTCAAGAGACCCGCCATTTAGACACGTATCTCTAGGGACCTGCCATTTAGACACTTATCTCAAGGGACCAACCATTTAGACACTTATCTCTAGGGACCCGCAATTTAGACACTTATCTCTAGGGACCCACAATTTAGACACTTATCTCTAGGGACCCACCATTTAGACACTTATCTCTAGGGACCCACCATTTAGACACTTATCTCTAGGGACCCACCATTTAGACACTTATCTCTAGGGACCCACCATTTAGACACTTATCTCTAGGGACCCACCATTTAGACACTTATCTCTAGGGACCCACCATTTAGACACTTATCTCTAGGGACCCACCATTTAGACACTTATCTCTAGGGACCCACCATTTAGACACTTATCTCTAGGGACCCACCATTTAGACACTTATCTCTAGGGACCCACCATTTAGACACTTATCTCTAGGGACCCACCATTTAGACACTTATCTCTAGGGACCCACCATTTAGACACTTATCTCTAGGGACCCACCATTTAGACACTTATCTCTAGGGACCCACCATTTAGACACTTATCTCTAGGGACCCACCATTTAGACACTTATCTCTAGGGACCCACCATTTAGACACTTATCTCTAGGGACCCACCATTTAGACACTTATCTCTAGGGACCCACCATTTAGACACTTATCTCTAGGGACCCACCATTTAGACACTTATCTCTAGGGACCCACCATTTAGACACTTATCTCTAGGGACCCACCATTTAGACACTTATCTCTAGGGACCCACCATTTAGACACTTATCTCTAGGGACCCACCATTTAGACACTTATCTCTAGGGACCCGCCATTTAGACACTTATCTCTAGGGACCCGCCATTTAGACACTTATCTCTAGGGACCCGCCATTTAGACACTTATCTCTAGGGACCCGCCATTTAGACACTTATCTCTAGGGACCCGCATATCAGACACTTATCTCTTGGGACCCGCCATTTAGACACTTATCTCTAGGACCCACCATTTAGACACTTATCTCTAGGGACCCGCCATGTAGACACTTATCTCTAGGGACCCGTCATTTAGACACTTATCTCTAGGGACCCTCAATTGAGACACTTATCTCTAGGGACCCGCCATTTAGATACTTATGTCTAGGGACCCGCAATTTAGACACTTATCTCAAGGGACCCGCAATTTAGACACTTATCGATAGAGAAATGACGAGCACGACGTCCTGGCGTTCTTACATTATTAAATACAGACTCAACAGACAGACTCAACAGACAGGCTCAACAGTCAGACTCAACAGACAGACTCAACAGACAGACCAACAGACAGACTCAACAGACAGACTCAATAGACAGACTCAATGATTATGTTTTCTTAATAGAATAAATGTTAGCTACATTACTAAACAATTAAAACATTTTTGTTAAGCAAGCTTATGGTGGCATCTAAATATCATCCTCTTACAGATGAAATTACAGTACTGATGTACTTAATTATTACCCCTTACAGACGAAATGACATTACTGAGGTAATTATCTGTCATGAGCTTAAAAGAATGGGGGCTGTCGCCATGAGCATTACTGCACCGGTTGTCACCAACCCCAGTGATTCCTGTGCGTACAGGTCATGTTTTGTAATGAATGTACTTAGATGTACTATTTTGTAATGAATGTACATACAGGTACCATTATGTAATGAATATACTTACAGGTATAATTTTGTAAAGAATGTACCTCTGGGTACAATTTTGTGATAAATGTACTTATAGGTACAATTAATTACATGTATAATTTTGTAATGAATGTACTCATAGGTACATAGGTACAATTACTTACAGGTAACATATCGGGAGAAACAAGATATGTTGCATGTTTCTCTCCCAAAGAGTTCAAGGTCATTGAAAACTTCACAGAGTCCTCCAAACTGTCCACCGCCATTCCCAGGTGTTTCATTACGATCGTTGCGTGTCTCTCCAGCCTTGCCGTGTCGATGACAAAATGGCCGCTCTCAGACTGGCTCATGAGTCGCTTGAAAAGTTTCTTCATGTCGTTCTCCATCTCAAACAGTCTGCAATAAAACAAAGATCTATGACACACATTCTGCAATAAAACGAAGATCTATTTCAAATATTCTGCCATAAAACAAAGATCTATTTCAAACAGTCTGCAGTAAAGCGAAGATCTATTTCAAACAGTTGGCAATAAAACAAACATCTATTTCAATGAGAAAGAAATAACAAAATTGTACTGGTAAATGTATCCGAAAGATTTATAAATGTCTCAAACAGTTTTCTCAATGTCTCAAAAAGAGATCTCAAAGTCTCAAACAGTTCTCAATGTCTCAAACTGCCTGCATCGACAATTATCCTCAACAATGCAGCATATCCTAAGTTTATATTATGGCTTATTATAAAGTAGATGATGTGTACACAAAATTCCCATTGGTGATATTTACAAAGATGTCCAATGTATTATATTTACAAAAAAGTCCAATTGATGATATTTACAAAGTTGTCCAATTGATGATATTTACAAAGTTGTCCAATTGATGATATTTACAAAGAAGTCCAATTGATGTTATTTACAAAGAAGTCCAATTGATGATATTTACAAAGTTGTCCAATTGATGATATTTACAAAGATGTCCAATTGATGATATTTACAAAAAATGCCATCTTGGGATATTTACAAAAAAATCTAAATTGATGATATGAAAAAAATTGATGATAAGTACACAAAAGTCCAATTGATGATCAGTACACAAAATTCTAATTGATGATCAGTACACAAAAGTCCAATTGATGATCAGTACACAAAAGTCAAATTGATTATCAGTACACAAAAGTCCAATTGTTGATCAGTACACAAAAGTCCAATTGATGATCAGTACACAAAAGTCCAATTGATGATCAGTACACAAAAGTCCAATTGATGATCAGTACACAAAAGTCCAATTGATGATCAGTACACAAAAGTCCAATTGATCAGTACACAAAAGTCCAATTGATGATCAGTACACAAAAGTCCAATTGATGATCAGTACACAAAAGTCCAATTGATGATCAGTACACAAAAGTCCAATTGATGATCAGTACACAAAAGTCCAATTGATGATCAGTAAACAAAAGTCCAATTGATAATCAGTACACAAAATTCCAATTGATGATCAGTACACAAAAGTCCAATATAACCAACAGTTTTTATTTCAGACATTTTAGCCCCCCCCCCCCCTTTTTCCCCACAAGCTATCAATGAAGATGTTTAAACAAATTAATAGTCTTAAAAAATAGTTTAAAAAACCACTTTACTGTTTAACCACTTTACCATTTACCCCCTTTACTTTTTTACCACTTTACTATTTAAGCACTATATTATGTAACCACTTTACTATTTAACCATCTTACTATTAAACCACCTAACTATTTACCCAATTTACTATTTCAGGAAATGTATTGAAACATAAGAATGAAAATTGGGAATAATGCACAGAAAAACTTTTTATAGAAATTACGACTTCCGCATCACTTTTCATTCATGAGATATACGCAGAAGTCACTCAAGGGTCATTAGAGGTCAATGGTAACCTCCTGACCACGGAAGTTTGCATTGTCATCAGAGGTGGGTAAGCGTACAAAGTTTCAGTTCAATCGGACAGAGAGTGTTTCAAAACTGAGATTTCACTCATATAGGTCAAGTAAGGGTCAGCGGAGGTCACCGATGACCAACTGATCATGAAGAGTTGTATTATCCTCGGGGATGGGTAAGTATACAAAGAATCAGATCAAGTAGACACCAGGAGGTGGGACAAAATCGAGATGCAAGATACCAGCACCAACTAACAAACTGATACTATCAAAATAAGAAAACGCGAAGAAGATTTTGTTAAATTTAAAAAAATAAAAACATGTCAAGGTCAAAACTTAATGTTTATTAGCATCTTGCCTTCCGCAGCAGAGAAGGATGCAAAATTAAATTCAGGCATACCAGCATTTTGAATTAATCAAAAGATTTCTAGGGTGCAATCATCCCATCTTTAAGCTCAAGAGCTGTCATTGCCTTAAAGGAACTACCCCCCCCCCTCTTTTTCCACAAAAAAAAAAAAAAAAAAAAAAAAAAAAAAAAAAATTTTTGAATAAAACAAAAAATTTCTAGGGTGCAATCACCCCAACTTTAAGCCCAAAAGGTGTCATTGCCTTAAAGGAACTACCCCCCCCCCCCTTTTTCCACAAAAAAAAAAAAAAAAAAAAAAAAAATTAAGTAAGTTTTTGAATATATTTATAAGAATGAGCTGTGCTGACCATAACGCCAAAGAAACGAAGCGATTTAAACACGTTCGGATTCTTAAAAACAATGATAGTTATTTTCTATTTTTTTACGGAAATCGAATCAATTCAAATGCGCAAAAAGTAAGAGATATCCGCTTTTATTTTGGTAAATGTTTAAGTATAATGATTATAAATTACAAATATATTTAAAATAACTATATAAAAACTGTTGTTATCTTTTTTTCCAAATTTGAATGTTATGAAAAAAAAAATTAAATGAAAAAAAATCATGATTTAAGAATTTCATCGTAAATCACATTTATGGGAAAAACCCGAAGATATGGGAAAAACCCGAAGATATGGGAAAACCCCGAAGATATGGGGAAAACCCGAAGATATGGAAAAAACCCGAAGATATGTTTTGTTTTTAGTGCTTGTTTAGTGCGCTGTTAATATTGTGAAAAAAAACTTAAAATTAATTTGTTTTCAATAAACAAGCAAATTCCGTCATAATGAAGTCAACATTTAGACTTAAGACATGTCAGAAAAGACATTTGAACTGATTTTGACGTTTAGAATTAAGACAAACTAACAAAAACATTTGAACTGATTGTGGTTTTGATAGAAATAATGGTTCCAAACCATGGTTCCCATCCAGTGTTCCCAAACAGAGTTTCCAACATTCTGTAAAGTTACGGACAGTCCGTAAAATTTGACATACAATGGCCTGTACGTAAGACCTTAAGGCTGTACGTAAGACCTTAAGGCAGTAAGTAAGATACCAAGGCTGCATGTAAGAACTTAAGGCCTAACATAAGAACGCGCTGTATTTAAGAGCTTAAAGCTGTATGTAAAAGCTTAAGGCAGTATGTAAGAACTTAAGGCTGTACATAAGAATTTAAAGCTGAATGTAACACCTTAAGGCTGTATATAAGAACTTAGGGCTGTACGTAAGAACTTAAGCCTGTATATAAGACCTTAAGGCTGTAAAAAGAACTTTAGACTGTACATACAAACTTAAGCCTGTATGAAAAAAACATAAGTCTGTCCAAAGAACTGAATGCTGTATGTAAGAACTTAAGGCTGTATGGAAGAACTTAAGGCTGCATATGAGAAGATAGGGCTGTACGTAATGACTTAAGGTTGTATGTAAGAACTTATGGCTGTATGTAAGAACATAAGGATTTATGTAAGAACTTAAGGCTGTATGTAAGAACTTAAGGCTGTCCATTAAACAAATGCTATTGTGTCTGGTTTCTTAACTCTGCCAGTAATTAATATGTATATTTTCATCTATTGTTTTGGCAACACTGACAGAAACCTTGTGAAAATGTGTAGCCCAGTTGCCGGCAAGTCAAGGGAGATGACTGTCCAAGATTCACGTGCAATTTGTTTCTCTTCTGTTGTGAGAAAAAAGTCCACTTCCGGGCGAGCCACTTTTTGTTTTTTATTTGAAGAAACGTTGCAGCCCATTGTTGGATCTTACTCCTGGTTAGTGACAGGATTCTGTCAATCAAACCACTTTTTAGTGACAGGATTCTGTCAATCAAACCACTTGCTAGTGACAGATTTCTGTGAATGAAAAAAACAAACATTGCTTTTAAACCAGACTTTTTTAACCTGTCTAGAGTTTATACTACACACTACTGTTCTCTCGGTGGGTTGATTGACTAAACTAGTGCAATCATTTTTGTTACTTTAAACTCATTCAATCTTCAAACGTTCTTTATGATCAACATCTTAAATGTTACAGAGGACTACCTTTACTTTGTATTTACTCTGAACACTTTGAATACATCCTCTCTTTACTAAGTACTCGAAGCAACCTCCTCAAATTCGCGTTCTTTTGACAAAGTACTTAGCACAAATAAATCAAATTTATGTTCTCTTTTAACCCAGTCGAAAAGTAAACACATTGACTTTATTGTCTTTTCACTTAGCACTTAATTTAAACGCCATGAAACAAGAGAAGACAAACAAAGTTAAGCACTCTATTTTAATCCTTTGTTCCGGAAGTAGATTGTTCCACTCGGAGCCAAAAATCCATAATATTGACCGCTGCTTGAGTTGCCACAGGGAATATGCCAGTAAATAACATTGAGATCATAACGTCTCTTTACTGAAAGATGAACAAACTCTTGGAAACTTTTTGCAAACTATTTTTTCTTGAGCAACTGTTAAAGATTTTGATGCTCACTTGATGGAACCGAAAATTGCATTTCTTATAGAATACAGGATTTATTAAATTTAATGATTGGTTTTAAAGATGAGGAAAATTAAATATGCGTAATAATACTGTTCAGGGTATGGATGCCAATTTATATTTAATAAAACTAAATTCACGAGTATTATTCTTTACATGATTGATATATCATACATGATTAATAATTCACATATAATATACAGGTTAACCCATTCAATACAACATGCACCGTGAACATTTCTTTTATAATAAACCATTTTACACATTCCACCCGTTTACAATAAATCCATTGCTGTAGATTTGATTAAAACTAATATCGTAACCTATAAAAAAAAACTTTGTTTAAATTTCTTATACTTTCTTGTATGTTATTAAATGGTACAGTCTTTTGACCATATGTTTTTAATGGTACAGTCTTTTGACCATATGTTATTAAATGGTACAGTCTTTTGACCATATGTTATTAAATGGTACAGTCTTTTGACCATATGTTATTAAATGGTACAGTCTTTTGACCATATGTTATTAAATGGTACAGACTTTTGACCATATGTTATTAAATGGTACAGTCTTTTGACCACATGTTATTAAATGGTACAGACTTTTGACCATATGTTATTAAATGGTACAGTCTTTTGACCGCATGTTATTAAATGGTACAGACTTTTGACCATATGTTATTAAATGGTGCAGTCTTTTGACCACATGTTATTAAATGGTACAGACTTTTGACCATATGTTATTAAATGGTACAGTCTTTTGACCATTAGCAAAGGATTTGTTTTCCTTTTTTAAATTGATTGTTCATAAATTTAACTTTTTAATTAATTTTATTTGTTTAATTTTTAAAATAAATTGTTTAGGTGTTTGAGTGGGGTATTATCTTTACTCGTGCATCCAGCACACAGTTCATTTATGACATCTCACTTGAAAGGGATCGAGCGAAATTTAATTCCCACTAGTGTGGACATTCAATCGGTTTTATTTCCGCTTGCACACAAGCAGTACGGCACACAATTAGTACGGCACACAAGTAGTGCGGAACACAAATAGTACGGCACCCATGTAGTGCGGCATAAAAGTCGTGCGGCACACATGTAGTGCGGCACACAAGTAGTGTGGCGCACAAGTAGTGTGGCACATAAGTAGAGTGGCACACAAGTAGTACGGCGCACAAGTAGTACGGTACACAGGTAGTTTGGCACACAAGTAGTACGGCACACAAGTAGTACGGTACACAAGTAGTAAGGCGCACAAGTAGTTTGGCACACAAGTAGTACGGCACACAAGTAGTGCGGTACACAAGTAGTGTGGCACACAAGTAGTAAAGCGCACAAGTAGTAAGGCGCACAAGTAGTACGGCGCACAAGTAGTAAGGCGCACAAGTAGTTTGGCACACAAGTAGTACGGCACACAAGTAGTGCGGTACACAAGTAGTACGGCACACAAGTAGTACGGCGCACAAGTAGTAAGGCGCACAAGTAGTTTGGCACACAAGTAGTACGGCACACAAGTAGTACGGCACACAAGTAGTGCGGCACACAAGTAGTACGGCACACAAGTAGTACGGCACACAAGTAGTACGGCACACAAGTAGTTTGGCACACAAGTAGTACGGCGAACAAGTAGTACGGCACACAAGTAGTTTGGCACACAAGTAGTACGGCACACAAGTAGTTTGGCACACAAGTACTTTCACAAGTAGTACGTCACACAAGTAGTACGGCACACAAGTAGTTTGGCACACAAGTAGTTTGGCACACTGGCACACAAGTAGTACGGCACACAAGTAGTTTGGCACACAAGTAGTACGGCGAACAAGTAGTACGGCACACAAGTAGTTAGGCACACAAGTAGTACGGCACACAAGTAGTTTGGCGCACAAGTACTTTCACAAGTAGTACGTCACACAAGTAGTACGGCACACAAGTAGTTTGGCACACAAGTAGTTTGGCACACAAGTAGTTTGGCACACAAGTAGTTTGGCACACAAGTAGTACGGCGCACAAGTAGTGCGGCACACAAGTAGTGCTGCACACAAGTAGTTTGGCACACAAGTAGTTTGGCACATAAGTAGTACGGCGCACAAGTAGTACGGCACACAAGTAGTTTGGCACACAAGTAGTACGGCACACAAGTAGTTTGGCACACAAGTAGTTTGGCACACAAGTAGTTTGGCACACAAGTAGTACGGCGCACAAGTAGTGCGGCACACAAGTAGTACGGCACACAAGTAGTTTGGCACACAAGTAGTACGGCACACAAGTAGTTTAGCACACAAGTAGTACGGCACACAAGTAGTTTGGCACACAAGTAGTACGGCACACAAGTAGTTTGGCACACAAGTAGTACGGCACACAAGTAGTTTGGCACACAAGTAGTTTGGCACACAAGTAGTGTGGCACACAAGTAGTACGGCACACAAGTAGTACGGCACACAAGTAGTACTTGTGACACAAGTAGTACGGCACACAAGTAGTTTGGCACACAAGTAGTTTGGCACACAAGTAGTACTTTACACAAGTAGTACGGCACACAAGTAGTACGGCACACAAGTAGTTTGGCACACAAGTTGTGCGGCACACAAGTAGTACGGCACACAAGTAGTACGGCACACAAGTAGTGCGGCACACACGTAGTACGGTTGATTAAATGATATAAAGAGCACCTAATCCTGATTTTCGAACAAAGGGACATTATTCGTAATAATCTTAACCTTTGGCCCCAGGTATGTTATTCTGTTCTAAACATAATGTCAGGACTTCAATTATTATGTTTCTTTACTCTACAAACACATATCTATACTCTCTATTCAATAAACATATCTCTCTGCTCTCTACTTAATAAACACATATCGTTACTCACTACTTAATAATCATATATCATTAATCACTACTTAATAAATATATCTCATGCCTCTCTACTTAATAAACATATCTCATTGCTCTATACTTAATAATATATCTCTTTACTCTCTATTAGTAACCATATCGCATGGTACGATAATCAATAACATTATTATACAATTAAAAAGCAACATCATATGTTTCGGTAATGCAATAGCATATTTTTAAGAAATGCAACATCAATAGATGTTTTAGTTTTAACTACATCAGTAGATGTTTTGTCCTCTAATTTTAACTACATCATTAGATGTTTTGTGCTCTAACTACATCAACATGTGTTTTATGTTTTAACTGCATCAATAGATGTGTTTTGTTTTGATGACATCAATATGTGTTATGTGTTTAACTACATCAATATGTGTTTAGTGCTTCAATAATACTTAAGTCAACTAAATTAATGGTTAAAGACAATATTTTAACAGGCTAGACACAGCAATGGTAGCGTGAATTTTCTTCCAGTTGCTTCTTGGTCAACGAACTCTGTGAGACATAACTCTTAGCTATTTGTAAGAAGAAACATTGATTCCTGGATCAGGAACTTGTCTCTAAGTGGCCTTCACATTCCAATGTATGCCACGTACCGAATGAAGGGAGATAATACTTACAGATCATACTATTATCTGAACAACCAAGACAGACAGCTGTCACTTCACGTGGTCTTTAGCTCCTCGTTTTACCCCCCCCCCCCCCCAATTTACTAACTTTGCTCTCGTCCCCGTCGTATCCACTCCAATACTTTCCCGCCAAAAATGTAATGTTTAATTTAGGGAGAAATCCTGGTTCATTCTAAGACTTATGTCAACTTATTGTTACATATGGCCGACGTGCGTCTGTTATTGCAGATTTTGTTTTAATTTTTACTGATGTGCCGTTGAAGACAACAATTGCTATAGATATTGACCTTGGCAATGAGGTTCCGATCTAACAACACCCTGCAGGGTCAATCTGGGAAAGAACATGAACTAATCCGGTCTCAAATAAAGTCCATGCTTGACAATGACAACTTGAAACAAGGCCTAGTAGCTGGAGTTCTTGACAACATTGAAACAAGGCCTAGTAGCTGGAGTTCTTGACAACATTGAAACAAGGCCTCGTAGCTGGAGTTCTTGGTTTAGCTTAGTTCAAAAGCCTGACAAAAGTTATAGTTTTGTACTGATTTTAGGCTAGACGGTTTATAGCAATACAATGTAATGTCATTTGGAATGAAAAATGAACCAGCTACATTCCAGTGCTTAGTTACATTCCAACGCTTAGTTAGTAGCATTATTGCTGACCAGAAAAACTTAAGTGTCTATATTGATGATATCATTATAAACAGTCATTGATTTTTCAAGTCATGTAACTCCAATCAAGATTTTTCAGAA